AGTTCTCAGCCCCTCAGCTGGATCAGGACTGATCCTGTTTTCCCAGCAACTCCATGCGTTCCTGTGCTAGCAGAGTACCCGCTTGGAAAGGCACCAGAAACACTAAAATGAGGAAAAAGGAGAGATTCTGATAGCCCCTGTCCCTGCTGCTGTACTGGAGAGCCCATGTCCACTGTGTTGCTGGATAATTGTGACTGCTTATTCAAAAATAATTTGCTGGGCTGTTCACAAATACCTTGTCAATCCTAGCATGGGACAGGTATTTTCGAAAGTGGTGTTTTAGGTTTTCAGGATAAGCAGCCAGTAACAAGCTATAGTCTGCATATGGTCACAGTAGTAGGTCACTTGGAATAGTCAGATGAATTTTCAACACTTTTTGGATAGAGTGAAATAGGGCTATTTGTCAGTAAAGTACAGTGTAGGACTGATTCATTATGTAACTTTTTTTCCAGAATTTGGGATTTTTTCTTTTGTCTTGAACACATGCACATTTGATGGTCATGTTTCACAGACTCGTCTGTTAAGCTTAAGATGTAAAGGTTGCTAGTGAATGAAGGTAGAAGTGGATTGACTGATCATTCCTTGTACCTCTTTAGTGACGGAATTGACTTGTGCCGTACTGAGACTTTCAGTGTGAGCCGGGGTAACACCACTTAATCGCATGGCACCAACACCCACAGAAATAAGAAGATGGCACCCTGAATGTGGGGAGCAGGAAGAACAGGTCTGTGGTGGAGGAGGGCTTGTGGAGCCTGGCTGCAAGGGGCTGGTTGTGCTCTTATGGCTGCAGCTTTTCTCATTAAGCTGCAAAGCACAAATGAAAGCCATACATTAGGAGCCCGTAAGGATTTCAACCAGTCGCTGTTGGGGCACCCCTGCCTTTCATTCTCCTCAGTACAACGTTCCTGCCTGTGTCTGCGAACATCTCCAGCTCAATACTCCACTCTTCTTCCAGTTACTTTCATCTGCTCCAGTTGGATTCAAAGTGGCTGCTGCTCAGCACGTTGTCTTGGTGCAAGGCAAGATCTCCTGTCTCCCACTGCGATCTCAATTGAGCTTCCAGCTACAGAGCTGCTTAACTGCTGGGTGTGAGCAGCCACCGACGTCTGATATTTAATGAGCATTTGCTGCTAATCAGCTACTGCAAAATGGGCAAGGTACGGCAGTGGCTGCATGGCATGTGGAGCCGTGGCCACTGTGGTTTGCAGCAGCTGATCAGAGGTCTTGGAGATAACTGATTTTCTTCTGGGATAGGAGATAGATAGGGCTGGTTAGCTGCCTGGTGGCAGCTGTGTTTTGAAAGGCTGATGATCTGTGGTTACCAGTGGTGACCTAGTTCCAGCATAAATGGAGCAGCAGTGGTGAGATCTGGAGCTGGGAGCAAGTGGAGAGCTTTATGGTTTAAATGATGCTGAGTGAGCTGTGAGCAATAAACTTGATCAGATGCAGTGAAGAGCAGACACTGAGCAGTTTCTGCTCACCTCCCAGCTTCTGTCTGACAAGATAGGAACAGGGACACTGCTGTGGTGTAGCTCACTCTGCTTCCCATTTCATACCCTCTCTGTCCTCACCTTTAGAAGTTCCCAGGCCCAACTGTCTCTGAGCTACCTGTGCTGAGGTGAGCAAGTTCAATGTTCTCCTCATGGGCTGCCAGGCCAAAATGTGGCTGCCTTTCTGTGCTGTCACTCTGGGCTCTCTTGTTATGGACAAGGAAGGCACATCTGGGAAGTTCTTACCCGGTGTGGCCATGTGTTGTTTGGGCTTCCCATGAAACACAGAAAGGACAGGTTGAACTGAGATACGTTGGAAGGGACGGATAGCGAATAGGTGAAAATTGTTTTCAGCCTCGTATTTCAGTTTTGATCTTCCATGGCAAGGTCTGACAGCATTAATGTTCGCACCTCTGGCAGGCAAGCTTTGTGCTATCCAAAATATTGCTGCCAAAAATCCTCTGTATTGACAGTGTGATTAGAAGGATGTTTTTGTCTCAAAGCTAGCAACTGCTAAGAGATTTGGAAGAGTAATTCAGGCTGTTACCTGTGCTTTGTTCTGGAGATGCCCTTTTGCAAAACTCTAAATCCTAACCTGCCCAAAGGAGCTCTTCAAGTCATGTTAATAGCCTGGTTCAAGTCAAACAGTTTGACATTCTTTGAACCAGAAGTATTATGTGACTTTGATAGTCTGTATTCCTGTACCTCAGCTCAGAGCTTGAAATTCATCTCTGCCACAAGCACGCCAGGTTTGTTTTCAGCTGCTTTGCAAACGAATACTTTATTCGGTAGCCGTGGCCAAATACGGCAGGATGGTCTTCGATACACTTGGTAGCCAGGCGGCTTTAGCTGTGCTGGCAGAGCCCTCTGGTGGGGCCGCAGCCTGGGCCAGCAGCAGCCGGGCCTGCGGGCAGTGCCACCCACTTGTCCCACTCGCCATCGGCTCGGTGGTGTCCCACCAGCTGCTCGCTTGCCCTCCACCCCCTTCCTACGCGGGAGAGCAGAGCCCTGTGGAGCGCTTCGCCTTTTTTAGCAAACCTAATGGTGTGCTGTAAGAGCTTGGTATAATTCTAGGTGTTGCTTTGCAAAATGTGACCACTCTTTCAGAGTAATTTTTTTTACTCTTTTAAATTTTTTTTATTAATTAATTAATAATTTACTTTCAGAGTTTTTTAAAAAAATAATAAGCCAGTTACAACATAACATTTTCCTAATCCATATCACAGTGTGGGAGAGCTGTGATGAATTTCAGGAATTGGTTCTATGAATTTCAATGGTATCTGTAAATACCTTTTTTTAAAGGTACCACTTAGTTAAAGTAACTGATTTATTTAAAGCATAGCGGGACATTTCTGAATCAAGAGCCACAGCCTTCTATTTCTGTTGGTCAGCAATGCTTTTGCTAATCGAAGTATCTGAGGAAAAGGCCTTTGTGTTTTAAAGTACCAAGTTACTGAGCATGAAGGAAAAATGTGATTACACTTGTCTAACCTAATAGTATTCAAAAGCCTGGTTAGGATTGCTGGATGCGCTGCCAAACCAGAATGTGCAAACGGGTCTTTTAATCTGATTAGGTCCCCAAAGTGTTGATATAATACAGGCCAATAACGCTCCTGCAGGAAATCCAGCTGTTTGAGATCGGTGCACAAGTAATGCATTCGTAATAAAGTGTCGTCTTTTCCTCATAACATGCTGGCCAGAGCTTTTCACTCACCATTGATCTGAAATACTCACAACCGTGTCCAGTATTTTATCTTCATTAAAATTAAAAAAAAAAGAGAAACATGCACCATGGCTTGAAAAGGCAATTACCTGGGATGGGTAGGAGCCCCCTCTGATGAAGTGGAAGAGTGGCAGCAAGACAAAGGCAGTCATATTTTCCTGACATTTTACTTGTTCAGTGATCAAGTTTTTAAGACAGATGTATAAATTCTTGCAAAAGCTGAGTTAACCGTGTTGTATTGAACTCATCTGCTCCATCACTCAGTTGAGAGACCTGTCACGCAAGAGGCAGCCACGTGTGGAACTCCTTGCTGCAGGTTGTTGTGAATTCCCAAAACTGAGTATGTTTCAGAAAGCCATTAAACACAGTTGTGAAAGGAAAATTCACCAGTATGATGAGGTGCAGTTACTGCCTTTGTCTGAGAATTCCCCAGCTGCAGCCTGGAGGATATGGCATGAGGTGCACAGCTGTGTGCGCTCACCCTCTTCATCCTCCCCCTTGGATGAGGGCGGATGCTGAACTAACCAGGGCTCCTTAAGGCCCTGGAGAGGACTGGTTTTGTTGTGGTGGTTGTCCCCCTCTGCTGACAACAGGAGGAGCTGTGATGGGGAGAGCACTAAGCTTGTTTGCCATGGATGGGGACTTGAACCCTCCTCCCACAGCCCAGAGAAGCTCATTGCTGAGGGATGTTGTTTCCAGAAGAATCTCCCATTTACCCACAATCTGATCTGGCATCTCCTATGACCCGATGGCTTCCCTTACGTGGAATGGGAGTTTCAGAGGAGGCTTATTACAAATGCACGTAGAAGGCAGCACAGAGGTTTTTTCTTTCTTGCAGGATAGCTTCATCTTTCTGTTTTTCTTCGTGTTGTGTTAGAGTTTTTAGTTCTCTGGCAGGTGTTATACAGTATGTTTTTCAAACCCTGCATCTTTGTCTCTTAGGGTACCTTCTGCTCTGTGACTTTATAAAGCTGCTAAAAAGCTATTTTTCTAATTTAATTGAAATTCCCTTATATTTGTATTTCACAATGTCATCGTGATTCAGCTTTGTAGAATACAGTCTTGCTTCCACAGGTCATCTTATTGCATACCCTTTGTAAGAGATTCACTTGCAATTTTAATCCTGTGATGCAGCAACCCTCCCGAGTTGTGTGTTGTATCTCAGAATTTCAAATGTAAATATTGCTCTAACATTACTCGTGTTATCTCTAATCTCGGAGTCTCGTAACAAAAATCTCTTGGAGAGTTCACGCTCTTTTGTCTGTGCTTGTGATTTCAAGTGCGTATTTTCTTGGAAAGTGGCTGATGGTTAATATTTGGAATCTTTAAAATTGTCGCTGCCCTTCTGAGGCAGGTGAGAGCCTTGGAGATCGGTAATCTGTACCTTTTAAAGAGCCACACTGCCTCGCTTTTGTCTCCGAATTTATTATGCTTCGCAAGTATAATGTGACATACTGAATAGGGCAGGGGGTGGGGACATTGTCTTCGGCTGACACGCCGTTATCAGTGGGACTGTGTTTCTGGACACAAGATTTCGCTGTCATTGGTCGTCCGAAGAAAGCCTTTCCATCGGAGGATTGGCCAAGAAGATGCGTCAATTAGCTGCCCGTCTCCAAGGTACTGGTGATGCTGCCTCCACAAGCTGGCTCACGTCACGGCTCCATCACCCAGCGGGGTGTGGGCTTTTTTCTCCTCTGCTCTCTTTTAATTCTGTATTTGCTTCCTACTGCATTTCTTAATCTGTCTTCTGCCAAATGCTAACAGCATGATATTTTGCAATCATTTAGGTGAATACAAGAAGGACGAACTCCTGGAAGCTGCTAGGTGAGTGCTGCTTAGAATATAAAGCATATTTTTGGGGGTGGAAGCGGGAGAGGAAAAGGGATTTTTAAAGCAGTAATGTTTTGTCATTGCCTCCCATGAAATGATGCAAACAAACCACTTCATTAGCATAAATCTCTTTGGACTTTACAGTCTGGTACAAATAGAAAAGCCTGTTTATGTAATTGAAATCCCCCACTATGGTGGTTATAAGGTTAATATTGAGTTTTTGCTTTAAGCTGCCTAAATCCTCTTTATCGTTCTGTGACTGTTCTTTTTAGGGGAAATTGAAATATTGGAATTTTTCTTTTGCTTTGTTTTGTTGTTTTTTTTTACTGCTACCTTAGGATGTATTTTGAAAATAGGCTTTATCAGAACAGAGCATTAGGAAGCCTATACAAAAGGTGTAAAGTTCAGTCGTGTATTCCAAAGATGCTTTCATCCTTCCTTCTGACAGCACAAGACCCTTTTATATAGACCATTAACCCTTCTAAAACATTTCTGCATTTTGGTCTGTAGTTGTTCCAAATGTTATGGGCCATATGCTGTGAAAATGTATTTAATTCAGAACGTTTAATTTGGCAAATGGCTTTCAGAGGATCTGTAAAATTAGATAAAGGAAATATACGATGAGGTTAAGGAGAGAAATTAAGAGGTCTTTTTGCATGAGCTTTTGTAATTCCCTTAACTGCAGGTGTAATATTCTTTTCTTTATTTACCCTTGGTTTTGAAATGTTCTGAAGATCCTGTAACCATCTGAGACGTCTCTAGCAAATTTCAATATACTATACTTTGATATCCAGCTCCTTAGCAAATGTTTTGCAAAGAGCTTCATGTTTTTTTCCCCTTTTCCACAATCCTTTCCTCTCCATTTACAGGAGTGGTAATGAAGAAAAACTGATGGCTTTATTGACTCCTCTAAATGTGAACTGCCATGCAAGTGATGGGCGTAAGGTAAGTAAATACCTGCTTTATGTGTCTGTTATTAAGGAAAGGCAAATTTAACCATACTGGGAAGCATAAATGCATAAACCAAGAGAGTGTATGAGGGAAGAACTTGTCACGTCTTTTCATCGTCGGACGTGGATTTTTCGCGTGTGTCTTTTTTTTTAAATGTCAGACCCTGACATACATGTGAAGTGAAACCTTAAGACCTTTTATAGGAAAACCAAAATGTACTGTTGCAGATGAATAAAACAGTTAAGGGAGGAAAGTTGTTGTATTTGAACATTGTCTGTGTGAGGTGGTTGGTATTCAGCTTAGCTCCTAATGCCTTGCCACGGCGACTGGCACACTATTGATATGCTTCATACCTTCTGCATTTTCCTAAATTTGACGTTATTGTTTTGACTTTCTCTGGCAGGGATGTTTCAGTGAGTTAAATTAAGGATTAGACTGAAAACGAAGGAGGGAAGAACATACGGAGTGAGAAGCAGATCCTATGGTTTTTGATGTTTTAGGCATCACGTTTATGGTCTGTCTAGACTGTTGCATTTACAAACCCTGGTTAGTTTTTTTTAACTCTGTACCAGAATGTTCTTAATCTGCATCTCCTAAAAATGTCTCTCATATGTAACAGTACATTTCACTCTTGGAGAGAAAAGCATGGGAATGTTTTCCTTTATGGTTTTTATTTTTGGTGGGGTGTGTTGGAGCACAGTATAAACCTCTGCCCATTCTGGAGCTGTTGTGGGGCAGCCCGGTTCCACTGAAACCAGTGAAGATAGGGCAGTTTACACGGCCTTTTCATTAACAGACATGTTCTTGCTGGTTATAAAAAAGTGTCATCCTTTGTGAAAACATTCCTATTTTTAATACGCATTTTAAAATGTTTTCACAGTTTTAATGCCTGTGATGCCTATTATGTGAAGGAAACCCAGACAATTTTTCTCTTGTTTGCATTTATCACTGACTGAAAGTTTATGAAACTTCCAGCTTTTTAAAACATTTAATTTTATGACCTGAGGGCAGGCAAATGAACAAGGGCTTTATTTAGTTCAGCTGCATCAGAACTGTTGAAATACTCGCCATATTTTAAGGTTAAACACTGCCCATAAATCTTTGTTTTCCTTTTATTTTTTAAAGACTTTACTATTCAAATGAGATTGTATTTAGGTATTAATAGTGCACTGTGTTATTACAACTAAGCACGGTGATATACAGCAGTGCATTACTGAGTAGTCGAGTCCCCATCACTGTTGATCTAAGGCCAAAGGCAGAGTTGTAATTTCTGCCTATATGGAGAGGAATAAGCCCGTGCAGATATGTGATCTAGAATATTTATCACTCTTAAAAAAAAAAAAAGCTTTTAAAATTCATATTAAGCTAGCAGAAAGTATTTATGTGTTATTGCAGCGTCTGAATTAGTTTGAAAACTTATGCCCAGAGCTCAGAAAGGATATAAGCAGTTAAAGCTAATCAATGCAGCCACTTTGGTAACTCGTGCGTTTGGTTGCTGGTAAATGCACTGGTTATTCAAACTCCTTTTAAGATGGTTTACCATTGATATTAATTAGGTTTTTGAAATCATGTCTACTGGATACATTTTATTTTTTTTTCCCCATCATATGTGTACAGACTGTTGAAGATGAAGTTATTCTCCATAGCGAGTGTGCTGTGTAACTGTTAAATATTTAATTTTTAAGGCAAAACTTTCAGGTACTGTACTAGTGCAAGATCACTTGGGCTTTAATCATTCTAAGCTGTGCTGCAAATTAAGTGAACTTATCAGCCTACGGCACAGCATTCTTGTAAACGAATGTCTGCACTGGTGTAGCTGCCTCCAGTCGACCTGTGCTGATTTACACTGGCTGAGAATTTGTCCATTTTGTTAGTTTTGCATTATTTGGTGCTTTTCATAGTTATTTCTTGCAGATCCCTTGAGTTTTCAAGCCTCAAACTTACCACAGTGTAAGGCCACAGATGTAATGCAGGGCCAGGGAGCGCAGGCTCTGCACAGTGGCTTGCGATTCTCAGCATCAGGCTTGCTGCAGTACAGACGTGTCCACAGACTCCTGTGTATCGGTTCCCCGGTTGGCACGTTCCTTGGCTATGCAGGTTTCTGAGACGTCCAGCACTGCACTGATAAGGGAAACATTTAGCTTTGTAGGTGAGGAAATTGAATCCCAGTACTAAACAGGTAATTGGTTTTTTTCTATATAGCAGATGATGGTGGGTTTTTTCATGCTTTGGGGTGTCAGTTTCCAGAAGTTGTCATCTTAACACCCATTGCATTAGAAGTGAATAGCAAAAATAGTCAGGATTTTGTTAATCACAGTATTTCTTGCTTCATTGCTGTATGCAGTTTACCTTATCCGAGCCCCCCAGGGATCTGTTCTGCGTCCCATGCATCTGGAGTTCCTGGACTTCCCAAGCACCACATCTGCTGTGAGGCTGTGTCTCGTAGAACAGATAAAAAGGGTGGAAAACTCCCGATGGTCCCTCGCTTGTTGCAAATAACAAAGACTTACTGCCTTCTGTGTGCTGCTTGCAGCGTTTTTGAAAATTATTGATAGCTGGCGTCTGATTCCTACTAGACAGGAGTCCACGCTGCTACAACGGTTACAGCTGGTGCTGATAACCATCGCCCCATCTGTTTATTTAGCATAGAGGTCAAAGACTGAATAGGACTGAAAACTGAACTTGCTTCTTCCCCTCCAAGTCATAGTTTAGATAGATTATATGAGCATTGTAGAGATATTCGTGTTACTGATGGTCTTCGGCTGTTGCCTGAAGAGGGAATTCATTCTCTGTTGCTGCTCTTGCAGTTATTTCCTGGAGTGAAAAATGAAGGAGTGTGTGCAAAAGAGAGAACAGTTTTATACATCAGCTAAAGCATTCCTGCGTCCCAAGGGTCAGTGCAATTCATGGGGGTTTGTTTCGATGACTGAGGAAAATTAACAATAATATCTCGGAGAAACAACTAATTCATTGAGCTAGGTAATGGTCGATTTTTTTGGGGGTAAGTATTGGCTTATGTGCCTGTTGAATATATATGAGGGCACAAATAACAGTGCAGAAGTGCAGAGCTATATCGTACAGTGTATGCAGATGAGTGTTGTTCAAGGGTAAGATTTCACAAGACCTGTTTTGGTTTGGGTTTTTTTTTAAACTGTTCCATTTATTTTTAAAAAGCTATGCCTGAGCTGAAATATAATAGTAATTTTTCATGCCATTTAGTACTGCTTTAACTATTGAACGGGAGACTGAAAAACCACAGAATTGTTAGGATACGGTGGTGTGTGTAACATAAAATTTGCATGTTACATCAATCCTGTTTAGATTGCCTCGCAATATATTTGCTCTGTCATAACAGAACTTAGACAAAATGCTCACAGGCACCTGCGTATTCCCAATGGAATTTCACTGTGTCCAGCCTCGGAGCTCTGCCAAACTGTTTGGTCTTTATGTAACCTATAGAAGTAGTGACTTCTAGAAGACATGCTGCAGTACTGAAGTTAAGGAATGGTACTGTTCAAAAGCCAAGCCACCTATTATTTGCATGTCTGTCTATGAAAAGGTTTATAGGCTCCAGGGACTTGCTTTACAGCCCCTGTTATTTTTCCTCAGATATTTCTGTTTTTCCTCTGGGGGTGTCTTTTTCAAGACTCAGTTGTGGGTAAATTTAAAAAAAACTGGTTTTGACTATTTTAAAACAACAGGTTCCTATCGCTATTGGAGGCTAAAGCTGTATTGTATTGTCACAAGAGCTGAAATTCTGACTCGTTACAACTGTCACAGCTCACCTAATCCAGTAGGTAGTGGCAAGAGACAGGCTTAAAATACACGTATTCATGGTTGCAGGTTGAGTTGAAGCCGTCTCTTAGCCCTCTCATTTCCTTTGGAAAGCTGTTGTGGACACTTGAAAGGTGTTTCAGGAAGAAATTGATGTTGCCTCCATTTTTAAAATAGTGTCTGAGCTAATAAGTAAGCACTGATTTAGCAATTCAGATGCAAACTCTTCTGTACAAGGCAGACTTTCCCACATCACGTCTTGACAGCTTTCCAAAGTGAACTGCATCCAGCTGATGTGGTAGCTATTAGCAGTGGGAGGTTGGATTTTTGTTTTGCAGTTGGATTTTTGCTGGTATATAATATCCTCATCCTGTACTACATTAGGCATGCTCAGATCATAAATAATACCGAAATCTAATCGAATAAAACCTTCTCTTCTTGCAAGGGAGCACAACTCCTCTGGTCAGGAGTTACTCAAAAACCAGTTTGTTTTGCTCTTTTTCTCAAGGATTCTCTCATTCAGAGCAGGGCAAATATCTGAGTTTTTGAGCTCTTTGGAGCACAGAACAATTATTTTTCCGTACAGTAAAATGCATGCTTCATATTTTGAAAGTATAGTTTCCATTGATCTGTTGCAGCTTTGTTTTGCATTTACATTTTGTATGACCCATACGAAAAACAGAGAATACCATGGTATTACCCGTGAACAGCTTGGTCTCGGGTATTTGTTCAGCACGAGGCAGGAATTACTACCCAGAGGCAGCACAGGATGCAATTTCTCCACAGCTGTGTTGTTTTCCTTCCTGCATTTTTCCCTCCCTGCCTTGCTCCTTGGAAACTAGAAATTTCTGCAGCGAGTGAGCCAGGGAGGCTGCGAACAGTGCCCTTCACTTCTTTCCCTGTGTGGGACCATTCAGCAGCATGGATGAGGCAGTGGTCCCATGGAAAATAATAACAGGCAATTATTTATTAAAAGGCCATTTTTAGCATGCATACAGTACTGCTTCATTTCATTTCACTGTAGTCTTCTGGCTCCTAATGCCTCTTTCTTTGTTTATTCCCAGTTTGCAGTCCTTAACAGGTCCCAGTACCAGTCCCAATACTTGGTATTATGGCACTCCAGCACCTTTCTTGTTAACCTTTCCAAACCAGATGTAGACAACCCTGGATCCCAAATACCAGTAGCAGGCCTTTGCATTAAACTCTGTGAGTCATAGTAC